CTCACTTTTACCCTTCCGATTCTCTCCCCCATCCCACTGGGGGGGCAGTGAGCAAGTGGCTGTGTGGTGCTTAGTTGCCGGCTGAGGTTAAACCATGACAACAGAGAAAAGAGAGAGAAAAAAGAGTGAGAAGCAGGCAAGTTATACATAGTCCATGTTTTCAGAGAGCCGAGGCGTGCCTGTTCCTGCATGCCTTTGCAGGTAGAGCCATGAATGCTCAGCCCCTCTGAAAGTGATGACCCAATGCTCTGTCCTCAGACCACCATAATCTTCTGCTTCCTGGGGGTCCTTCTGTGGGAAGTCACCAGTGGCTTTAGCAGGGGGGGCACCTCCTGCTGCAGTAGCGGCTGCCGAAGCAGGAGAGGTCACAGCACCCAGAAGTGATGGGCACTCCATCACAGCTGAGGATGCTGCCAACGGCAGCGGAGGTGGAGGATCCCACGGCGGTGTTCTGCGGGAAGGAGCTGAGGATGGGGCCGGGCAGGGTCACCACCACGGGGGAGGGCTGGATGACGACGGTGGAGTCCTGGCACTGCCTGACACAGGGCTCATTGCAGCTGTTGGCCAGCGGGGTCGGGCCGCAGGGCTGGCACGGCAGGCAGGGCAGGCACTGGTTGTGGCAGGACATGTCTTGGGGCTTTGTGTTGGGGCTGGAGTTGCACCTGGGAGAGAGGGCAGGGAGGAGCACGGGGGCACGTGAGGAGCAGCCTGTCCGCCCAGCACGAGGCAGCCAAGGCACGTGCTGGGCGGGGAGCTGGAGGCTGTGCAGGGAGGCCCATGCGCCTCTTTGCCTGCTCCCCCGGGCACCGTGCAAAGAGAGCCAGGCCCACGAAAGCTCTTTCCTAGACAAGAGCCCAAGAGTCCCCTCAGCCCAGACCCAGCCCCCTCCACACCAGACCTTCTCGCCGCTTCCCCTCCCAGGAGTGGCAGAGCCTCAAGCCCCAGCAAAGGACAGAGCAGGTATTATCTGACATGTCCACTGAGTCATGGCTTCATTCTTTAGGAGTAGGAGAAGGAGAGGGGACTTCAGATTCACCTGGTTCCCATGGAGAAGAAGGAGAGTGAAGTGGATGAGAGAACAAGGACGTGCATTGGCTTTCATACTGGTCCTGCACTGCCCCTGACCTAGCAGGATTAATAATTTTCTGACAAGCTCTTCTGAACTGTAAGACATCCCAGCTAATGATACAAGTTGTGATTCAGTTTCCTTGTGCCTTTTCATTTCCTTGTTTATGCCATGCTCATTCCCTCATGGATGCTTGTTTTGATTGTTGGAATGAGAGTTCCTAAAATTTCTGGGGCAGGAACACGTCGTTGCAGGAAGAACACTCATGCCAATTGCTGGAGGGGTCCTGTACAGACTATGGACACTGGCCTGCGGCACTCCTGGGGGGTTGTTTTCAGCCCCATTGGCAGGAAAGATGAAGCTCCTCTCAGCCCTGCAATCCTTGACCAGACATCCCAGGGCTTCCATATGTGAGGACATGCCATGTCCTTTTTCCTCTCTCCCTACCAGCCCTTTCAAATTGTTACTGGTCTTTCTCTTCCCAGACAGGTGGACTGCACTGCTGAGTTTCAACATTTCTCCTTCTAACACCAACCTTGGGAGAGATTTCCCAGGCTGCTTGGCTTCCTCCACTCTCTAGGCCGTGTCTGGGGATTCCCAGGCAATCCATGTTTTAGGCCTTGAGGTGTCCTGGGATGCTACAGCCCTGCCAGGGTTGTGCCTAGTTGAATCCACAGGTGGTCACGTGTAGGCATTTTTGCTTGATGGGTGCACTTATGTGTATGATAAATTTCTCTGAATGCATGGTGTGGACAAATTTGCATGCAATTCCATGCAGGTGAGCATGAACACATCTGTTTGTACATACCTGTCCATACATCTCATCACAACAAGATGTGGTGGTCATGGCAGGGGCCCTTTCCAGCATCCTTTCTGGGTGCTCTCTGTCCATGAGCACCACAGAGCTGCAGGTTCCCCTGGCCAGAAAGGGCCTAACTTCAGCAGAACAGTGACAGCTCCAAGGTTGAGAGGTGCCCCAGCGGCAGGCACTGAGATGCAGCCCCTGTTCCCTGTGCACCTAGTTTCCTGATGCTCAAAAGATCACGCTCTGCTACTGCAGATTTCAGAGACCAAAAGGACTGTTTCACTCCAGTTTGGGAATTCTGTATGTGCAACATACCAACAGTTGGAGTTCCTCAGCACTGCCTGTCCCTGCAGGCTAGGTTGCCTCTCCCCTACTTAGTGTTAAGGAGCTCAAAAGAACATTAGCTTTGTGTCCAGGGAGAAATGCAGAGAAATCGTGCCCACCTGGTGCAGAGAAACCTTGAGTGGATCTGCATCCAGAGCTGTGTTGGTGGTGCCTGTGTCTATGGAGACAAGAGCTTAAGCTACATAGAGCAAGGAATGCAGGACAGATGGAGACCATGGCCAACCAGGTAGCAGAGGAAGGCAGTCAAGGTGGGGAAGGCTGGAAGTTGGTGACTTCTGGCAATAGAAAAAAGGCTCCTGCTCCACCTGCAGACTTTATCTTCAGAACAGGTGCTGTCACCTGGGAACTGGTGAGGACAAAAAGACGCATTAGGGAATTCATCAGAGGGAGCTGTGCTCAAATAATTTTTCTTCCACGGAGGAGAAAAGACCTGTGACATCTTTAGGAGACTTCCTCTTTTAGGAATCTTAAGCACCAGTCTGTTAACCTGTCCTGATGTCTCAGGAGGTTTCTTGTTTGCCAGAGGGCAGATGCAATATGTTGCAGAGGGACTGTTGAGCTTGTCCTGCCTTTGGAGTATTACCCTTTGCTGCTCTTTGATGTGGGCACCAATGATAATGCCCAAAGTGTTTCTAGAGTGACTACAGAGCTCTGGGGTGAAGTAAGAGTGTGAGGGCCCAAACTGGAAAGGCTTGAGTAGAAAAGAACTCATCCAGTGGATCAACACCTGGCTGCATGCTTTGTGTTGCAGGCAGAACTTTGATTTTGATTGCCAGAGAACTATCTTTGATGAATGAGGACTACTGATCAAGGATGGGAAGTATTTGACAAAATCGTGCATCAGGGTCATTGCAGTCAGGTGTGCTAACAAAGAGAAGAGAACTCTGAAGTAGGTATGGCACGGGAGGTTTACGATAAAGGAAAGAGAAGTGAGAGCATAAGGGGTAGAACAGATAGCTAAAAAGCTATGCCTGTACCCTAATTCTGGTACTGCACTAGTCTTAGTTTTGAAACATATTGTTTTTAAATGAAAATGGGACAACCAACCTGTCTCCCTCCCCACACTGTAGCAGTTGAGCACATCACAATGAACCGTTGTCCAAGAAGTTATTTCAGTTGAGAGATGCCCCCTACCCCCACCAAGCTTTGTTCTGCCAGCTTGCTTTTACCTCTGAGGGGTAGTGATGGTGACAGAGGGGTTTATGTGACTGCTTGTACTACTCAGCTGTGGGGCATGCAATATGGGTCATTCTGTGTGACGGCAAATGTTCTGTACTCCCTGCAGACAAGTACCACTTGTAAATTGAATACTGAGAAGTCATGCTTAGGACTGCGCTAGTCCTACTTATATGCCCTTTCACAGCCTCAGAATATGGCTGATGACTTCCTGCCAAGACACATGCTGGTGCATAGAAATGCTCCTTATGCAGACATAACACCCAGGAAACTTTTCCATCTAAAACGCGGGTAGTATTCATGACTTACTCCCTTGAGCTCACATCTTAGGCTTGCATTCCAAGACAAGCTACGTAAAAACTTTTTCAGGTACAGCAGATGAGCCTGTGTGTCTGCACTCACTAGAGTGGATTTCTTCACATTAAGATGTGTGAGATACAGCTATGACCTAGCGTCTCTGTGCTCCTTTCATGTTCAGTGGACCTGGTTAATGTGGGGAGGGATTCGAGGTGGGCTAGCACAGCTCAGCCCACAAAAACAGGAGATACCTTCTGTTGCAGAGGTCTGAGCTCCTGCCTGCCCATGCAGAGCCTGAAAAACACTCACAAGAACACCTGCGCAATGCAAGGAACAATCCCAGAGAGGGATGTAATGGATGTCCCCTGTCCAGGGCACAGGGCTAGCCAAACTCTGGCCTTGGTGTTCACGGAACTGCAGCAGGTAGCCTGGAAATCTCTGCTCTGGGGAGTTTTGGATGCTTCCCATCCTTGCTGTGTCCCCAGAGGATCAAAGACAATGAACGCTAAGCAGCAACTTCCAACCTCCTTCCTCAGGTATGGTGTGGATTCCTCTCCCTGCACCCTGGTACCTTTCCAAGGGGATGGGTGGAACCTCACCAGGTGACTCTTTTTGTGCTGCTGGGTCTGGCTGTGAACAGGACAAAGAGGGACAGCTCATCCAGGTTTGGCTGAGAATTGTCCCTCATTGTCCTGTTCTCAGCCATCTGCCTCCTGATCCTGGCTAGGAATACCTTGACCAACCTGGGGCAGGATGATGCAGCCACTTGCAACAGGGCAGCAAATGCACCAATGGAGTAGAGCTCTTGGTGTGGAGAGAGATGTTCCCCCATGCAGGTGTGGGTGGGAACATCTGGGAGCTCTCACCAGGACTCTGTGCCCTTCCGACAGCTCCCCTGCCCTGCCTGTGCCAAGCAACGTGTGAGTATGATATCAAGCCCTGCCTGTCCTTGCCTTGGAGCTACCAGGGGAGAGGTGCTCTGTGGGCTGCCCGGACAAGCGGCCTCTCCAGGCCCAGGCTGCAGGACAGGTGGGTTGGGGAGATCGTGTCCCAGGTCTGGTACATGCCAGGAAGGTGGGCGGCAGCAGCAGCAGCCCCGCCATGGCTCTGAGTATCATGGACAGTGTGCAAGCTCGAGGTGCAACAGGGAGGCAGCTCCATCTTCTCTGTCAGCACCCAGTGGGTAGTTATAGACAGCAGTTACGTCTTCCCATAGCCTTCTTGAGACTGATCAAACCCAGTCCTCTCAGCCACTCCTCATGTAAGGGTATGTGGAATGGGAGAGTCTCTGTTTCATTAATGTTACCTGATCAAGGACCTTTCTAGTGCAAATGGGATAACACATAAAGGGGGGGTGCAGTAACAAAAATCACAAGGAGACACAAACTTGGTAGAAAAGGAATAACAATAACCAAACCTAAAAGTCTCCAACAGCTAATTAATGGGCCCTTAGGAAAATACAGGCATAGCTTTGGAGAAGGGCCACCTGGACTTTGTAACTGATAAGAAGGGGGAAATGGGATGAACACGAGGATCTGGGAAATTCAAGGAGGGCCTGTGGGACTAGGGAAAAATTACTGAGGAATGTTTAAGGAAAGGGAATGAGAAACAGAGATGGGAGGTATAAAAGGGGCTTGTTAGGTGTAAGCAGTTGCCGGTCAGTACACTTGTCTAACTGAGCCCTGCCCTTGATCACTGCATTCTAGCCTATCTTCTAATTAAATCTTCCTTAACTGTCTTTCCATGTAGTTTCACTCTCCATGCTGTAAGGACTGGATGCCAGCAACTGAAGGGACCAGAGGGAGTGAAATGAGGTCAGCAACAGGAGTCAGATTGGAGTGAAGGCACTGCTGGGCCTGTGGTGCCAGAATCTGGAGTGGACAAGGTCCCAGTGTCAGCAACTGGTGTGAGGCTACAGGTCACAGGCCCCATATGCCTGGGTGCCAGTGGTTGGGGACCAGTGCATTTATATTTTCCCTAACCTGGTGT